GGGAAAAAAAAAAAAAAAAAAAAAAAAAAAAAAAAAAAAAAACCGAGGATATGAATGATTTGAAGAACAAAAATGGTGAGAGGGGAAGAAAGAGAGAGAATCCAGATCGTGAGATTTGAAAAGACGAGAGAAATTTGGGACAAAATCGAAATGGAGAGAAATTTCAGATCTGAAAACGTGAGGTGCGGCGCTTAAATAGGCAATTGTCATTTCTAAAACTAGTTCATCTCGCCATTTCCAATTCCAACTACAACAAATTCAATTAAGAACACAATATTTTTAGCCAATAATCTTTAAATTTTAAATAATTTGTTAAAGTTTATAAATGTGTTAAATACAAACTTAAAAATTAAAAGGGTCAAATAGGAATAAACAAAAAAAAAAAAAAAAAGGACTAAGCGACTAAATTTGAATATGATTCAACAATTAATTTTTTAATTATTATTATTATTATAATATGTTGTAACCATGTCACATTAAAAAATAACACATTATATGTATAGGGGATTCTCAACTTTCGTTCTTTGTGTATGATAGATATTATCAATTTAAACATAACCAACTTCCACATCTAGAAATTACCGTAATAACCGATTTATAAATATCTAGACCAGAAAACTACTCGAAGCTTCGAAGTCTGGATAGTCTCGAGGTTCATAAGCGTAATAACCAGTAAACACTATCCTAAGCTTCCATATGGTATGAAATAGTGGTTGAATTCAGTCAGTCATGCTGTTGGCTGCCCAACAATTAGTGAAGGAAAACAGCAGAAAGAAGAGTTCTCCAAGGAACCAATTCATAACTAATTCAAAATCTCAACCGTTCATGAGAACTTCATCTGAATAATAAAAAATCTAAGACGAGATCCCATGCCGCTCTTTACAACAAGTATCGAACCAGTCGAACTATCAAACGTAACGATAAAAACGGGAAGTAGGCTACAATGAATCAGAGAGACCATTGTTATCAACTCAGTCCAAGACCGTATGATACCAACATATTTACCTTTGATTAGGCGTTCCTCCATGCATTAGGCCTACCCAAGATGGATCTGAATCCTGAAAATTTTGGAATGAAATTAAAGCTAATGCTGGCCATTTCCTGTAAATCCAAAATAACCTTCTAATGGACATGGTGTCTCTAGTCCAGGCATGCTATGGAGTAATATCAAATTGGGCATCATGGAGATTATGTACTACTACCAATCATACCGCCAACAACCCGAAAAAGATGAAGATAACTAAAATCCTTTTTAATTTGGCTGAAGAGTTAGACTACTTACCAACTTACTTCCAGGGGGTTAACAAATTAGTATCGTTTGTAAGCGTTTCCGTAATCGTCACGCCTCGGATGTTGAAACTCCCCAAAACTACCATGAGGCCTTGAAGGATAATTCTCCATATGATTTGGATACTTGCTTCTTGAATCAAGGGCCGCTAAATTAGTAGCCCCTTCATAATGGGAATTGACTGAGCCACCTTCATACTCAGAATAGTTATGCTGCTTATAACCAGCAAAACCTGAAGCGGCCATGTGCTGGTGCACTTGTTGCTGACGCCTCTGGGCATCAAGTTGGTGAAACTCATCCCATTGTTTTGCATGTGTTCCCCTCAAATGAGCCAATTTCTTCGTGTAGTTCTCTCTCATCTCCCTTATAGTCTTTTAATAGAACCATAAGTGGAAAGCACAAACTTTAAATTAAAATAACGAAGAGTACAAATTTGAGTCGTGTAAAGAGATCCAAAATGATATCCAAAGAGAGAAAATGGCAACATGGAAAAATAGGAATATACACCAGGTGCCATTCGATGTATGATTGCAATGATAGGAGATCCATACCTCACGGTGTTTATAGTTCTCATCGTCTTCTTCTTTATCACGAATCTTTCCAAGTTCAGTTGCTTCTCTTTTATACTCCATCTCCAATTCTTCAAGAGACTGGGGAAAAGCTGGATACTTGAACTGACGACTAGTTTGCAAATCAGATCCTCTTCTCTCACTATCCCATCCTTCCATTCTACCATATGCACTTTTGTTCTGATAACTATCATATGAACTGAATGAGCTGCCAGAATAAGGTGGATGAGCAGGAGATTTTGAGTGGCTTGAACGACCTCTAACTCTGTCGTTGCTATAAGCTTCACGATAAATGAAGAGCAATGTTAAAAATAGACAAATGCTAGAATGTGTTGTTGTATAATTCAAGGTGATCATCATATAATCAAATGACGAAACCATAGGAGGAAAAACAACCCAGATGCCCATTCATAAAATCGTTTTGTTTTGAAGATAATCTGATCAATTCAGATCCTATCCCTGAAAATTACTTCAGGGTCGCATATATAAGCTTGAACAGAAGAACTTACCTTGTACAGCAAACAAATATAGGCAACAAATAACATTATTAAGAAGGCAAAGAGATGGAGAAAACAAAGATTGCTACAAGCTACAACATAGAATTACCAGCTTTCTATTGATGCCGTTAACATATCCTATGCTTTTCCTACCTTGAACCGAGCCCCTTGGATATTTCTGCAGATCATCACGAATGCGGTTTTCAACAGCCTTCTCCTGTCTGCTAAACCTAGGTTGAAGTTGTGATGCATTTGTAGGACCAGAATGTGATCTACGGATGTCAGAACGTTGTGATCTTGAGCCAACTGGGCTTCGCTCAGGTGACCTGGATCTACTCATATGAGAACTAGAAAAACCCTTCTGATCACCTTCCTCCTTAATCATCTTGTGCACAGCATCTACTCCCTTTACCAGAATTAGCCTATCCTTGCCACTAACAATGATGAATTTCTCATCCATCTTGATCTTACAACCAATATCCTTTTCAATTTTCTGTACTACCCTATCAGTGAAAAGTGCTCTCACATGTTTATCCCTGGCTGGTACCCTTTCAAAAAAATCTTGAGCTTTACGATTTGATCCCAAGGTAGATGGGCATCCCTATGAATACACAAAAATTGCAAGAAGTAGCATCTGTTAAAATAATGATAACCCGCTTGAATTCTACCGTCACGTAAAAACAGGGATATGAATTTAAAGGAAATAAATTAGTTTCAGAAGGTCTACTTCTTGTATGAAAACTATCTTTCGATGAAACAAATCATAAAGCATCAAATATTCTCAGTCTCTCTCCCCTTGCATGCAAGCATCCACACAAATGACCCGTGAGTGCGAGATTGAGAGAAAACTTTCAATTACTAGGCAATGCTTGTGGAGGTTTTATTGTATGTACTCTCTGCTCAATTGTTCTTTCTAGCTTGCTCCCTATTACTTAGATATTCTCTCATTTATATGTGTGTGTGTGTATATATATATATATATATATATATATATATCTATATGTTGAATTACAAATTTAGTTGATAAACTTCTAAACGTGTCTAATGAACCCCTAAAGTTTTAAATGTGTCCAAATAGTACAAAGACTGCCTAATACAAGTGAGACCATAAAATATAACTCATATGTTGTGAAAAATCTATGTGCAATAACTTAACAAGATCGATAAAACGTTTATAGTAGTAACAATACCTGAGTAAAATGACCTGATTCTCCACATATTTTGCAGACCATTTCTTCCTCTTTTCTCTTCTTCCAATTCCTCTCTGTAGCTTTTGACTTGGCTTCCCAAACCTTGGCTTCTCGGCTGGTAAAATCAGTTGGCACAGCATTGGGATCACGAGGTTCATCCTTCTCATCAAAACCTGCATGAGACCTTTTATTTGTATTTGTCTTATCTTGTACTATAACAGCGGTTGATCGTGGAGGGCCAGTGTACTCCTTGTAGAGTTCACTAAATTCATCATCTGCATCCACATCTGGTGAATTCGCCATCGCAAGAAGATCAAATTCAGTTGAGCTCCTGCATATGTACAATAAACCACACTAATCAATGTCCTGAAAATTGGCAACTGGCAAATTAGGCATACCTAAAAGCGAGAAAAATGCCCAATTCAGACTAAAAGCCCCTTGAATTGAAAAAAGAAAAAACAAAATAAACAGAAAATTTCTGGAGATAGGGAAGCAACCAGGAAAAGAAAAACTCACTAGCTATCCCATTATGCAGTTATCCATATCCTAAAATTCAAACATTTGGGTTCAGATATAAGGCACCAATTAACTCCTAAGAACAATTACTCGGGAAATGTTTTCATTTCCAATCACAATCCACATTCCAACGCCACAACTCCCTTCCGCCGCCAGAAGGAGAGAGCGTGCGTGGTACTTATCGTCGCCGGAGTAAAAAAAGAACGCACACTTACATTAGTAAATAAAATCAAAACAGAGACGTAATGCGAAGCATATTAACACATTAAGCGATAGTGAGCTACTGTGAATCGTGAACTGAAAGATATTGAAGCAAAACTAAATCGTACAAATTACAGAGCGGGGACGAATAGAAGGTTTTTTTTTTCTCCCCAAGAGAAATAAAGATCGGAAAGAAAAAAAAAAAAAAGAAGAACAGACAAATGGAGAGAGAGATTATTACTGACAGCAACAAAGAATTCAAGTAAAACGTGAAGGACGAACGGAAATTAGAAGAAGGAAAGAAAAAACGGAGAGGAGAAAAGCGAAAGAAAGCAATACACCACGAGACCTGATGGGAGAGGAAGGAACGAAGTACAAGACGAAATCCACGAGGAGAAACGAAAAATACCTTGTCGTCGGAGAGAAGAAACTGCCGGAGGCGGAGGCTGCCACCGGAAGGGAGGGAAGTGGTCCGTTTTTATGGCTCCAACTGCCGCGAAATAAACCAGAGACTCCGATAGGGTTTGATAGGTATTGCTAAATTACTTATATGCTCCTATCATTTCGAGTATTTACCTTTCACTCCTCCCTCATAAAA